TGTGTAGTATATAATAATATACTACTACTATATATATATATATATATATGTGTGTGTGTGTGTGTNTATATATATATATATATATATATATATATATATACCATCAATATATTACATACGTATTCTTCGTGCGTGATTTCTATGCACACACACGGTATGTATACCTACAATAATGTACAAGACGAGCGTATATTTATGTACAAACTTATTTCGTGTATGTACACGCTCCTCTGTCAGCCTGCACACGCGCGCCTTTACGCACAATCTTACGCATCGTCACTGTCACATACACACACGCACACCTTCACACGCGAACATCCGCAGCTACATTCTCTTACCTACACGCTCACACACATAAACGCACCGAGACCCTAGAATCCTAAAACCCTACAACTCTACAACCACAGCTGTCTATGGATGAGACGTATGCAGACATCACCCCCGTACGCTTCAACAGCAACAATGTGAGCGCGTACGTGTCTATCATGCGCGGGTGTGACAACATGTGTTCGTACTGTATAGTGCCCTTTACGCGTGGGCGGGAACGCAGCCGTCCGATGACGAGTATCCTGGAGGAAGTTCGGAACTTGTCAGCTGACGGAGTGAAGGAGGTGACACTGTTGGGCCAGAACGTCAACAGCTACCGCGATCTCAACGAACGATCGGTGAGTCATGATTTATAAACAAATATATTTATATAGTATGCATTTACGGAGAATTTGTCTCGATTACTAAATATCCGAGATATACAATAACTATACCACAGCACGAGTTCACATATACATTACAGGTGTTGTATTGGCCATGTTATTCAGGGTTTTATGATTTAGGGTTTACCTATCTGTGGAATATATAGGTATATAAATATACATATTTATATAGGTATATATATATACATATATATATATGTGTGTGTATATGTATGTATATATATATTAGTGTATGTGGATGTGTATATATATATGTATATGTACATATATTTATCTATATGTATATCTATATATATATATATATATATATATATATTCCTGTTGTTTCTTGATGCACGGATGTATGACAGGTTCGATGCTTTGGTTCTTTTCTTGGAAGTATCGCCACTGTCGACCTCCGGCAATAGCGATGGCAGCGCCGCACTTGACACTGATATGTTTGAAGTCGATGTGCTGAGTTTTGTTGTCGGAGACTAACAGTGGCGGAACTCCAGCTTCCAACCTATTGTCTATCCATCAAGAAACATCAATACTTTATATGAATATACGTACATGAACACACACATAAGTTTATATATTATTATATATATATATATATGTGTGTACATATATATATATATATATATATATATACGTATATACGTAAATATATATGTATATGTATACATATATGAATACATATACAAATATATATATATGCGTATGTATATATATATATATACATATATATATATATATATATAGACATGTATATGACATGTATATATACATATACATGTATTTGTTTATTTATATTGATATATATATATATATGTACGTATGTATATGTATGTATATACGAAGTCGTGTTGTTTCTTGCTGAATGGACTTATATTAAGTTCGATCCACTT